CGTCGTGAAGGCTTTTGAAAAGTCCCGCAGTATATGTACTTTCCTTAGTCTTAAAACTCATTAAATGGTCTTAAATGCAACCCTTTGCCTCTACTTCAAGTTAGACTTTGAGAGATATTTCTTTTACTGTGCGAAAAGGTTGGAAAATGTTCTTGTTTTCCGCGATGAGCCATCGTCTCGGTATTTGGTGAAGGTATTTGCTTTCTCTTTTCTGTTGTGACTGTTCAAAAAGGGACTAACAAAGGACATCGATCAGAAAGCGACAACATGTAGCGATCTTTCTTGTTCTGTTAAGAAAGATGCATCTAAATGGTGGTTAGTCTTGTTATATACCTACCTTGAAATTCAAGTTTCTTGGCGGCAGACAAGGAGACTGATTAGCGTAATGATTTATACATCGGAAATGCACAATCACATCACGGAATTCATTCTGAAACTTGCTCTCAGTGTTAGGAAGGCGACTGAGGTTGTGCTCTGACCGAGTCCTTCTATTCTATTGTTCTTGAGAAAGAGTAAATGTACCGTAAAACGTTGGTTTAGACATTTTAAGAATTTGTTTTCCTAATCTTTTAGCCTTGTATATAGAATATACTTTATTAAGCGAACATTATGGACAAAACAATTAATCTTAGCGGTATCATACAATTCGCGCCGGATACTCTGAAATATGACCTTGAGAACAAACAAACAAACAGAAATTCAAAGAAAAAATTGTTTTAAAACCTTTCAATCTTAGCACGGGTTTAAAAATGAGCCGTTTACAAAGCAAAAATTCATTTTAAAAATAAAAACCAAACGTTTTGGACACTAGGTCATCATCGAGGTAAATAGGCACCGTCTTCTAAATTAATGTTCCTGATGTTTTGAACGGATTTTTCGAGGGTAGGGAATTAAGGTATTCTTCTTCAGTTAAACAGTATCAGTTGAAATTATATATTCTATTGAGTGTGTATGATAATTTCAGCGTGAGAAAGTTAGCCAAAATTGAAAGAAACGACGGTAAACGACTTCGAGTCAAGATAGATTTTATCTTTGGCGTAGACAATGAAGGATTCATATAAAGCAAAATTTAAAAAATTTCGCTCTAGTAGGAATCAAGAATAAATTTTTTATTTTGAGAATCGAGAAGGAGAGCCAGTTGTGTTTGTAGCACAATAAGCTCAAGAGGGTCGTTCAGCATTTTTTATTTGTTTTGACTGTCTAGCCCTTCTACCGCTCTCTGAGACTTCGTCGCAGACATTGTCCAAATGTTACAATCAACCACACAAGCGACTAAGTAACTGTGTTTTAGAAGCACAGAGGCGTATTAATAGTTAAGCCTAAAACAGTGGGATAAAGTATTTGAATAAGCTTTGCGTTTGAAAAGTCTCCAGTTTTTCTTTTCCCTTCTTTTAATTCCTTTTGCAGACTTCTATAAATTTTCTTGTACCTATTTGGCAACAGCGGTTGATTCTTGATGCTTTNAATGATTTATACATCGGAAATGCACAATCACATCACGGAATTCAATCTGAAACTTGCTCTCAGTGTTAGGAAGGTGACTGAGGTTGCGTTCTGACCGAGTCCTTCGATTCTATTGTTCTTGAGAAAGAGTAAATGTACCGTAAAACGTTTGGTTTAGACATTTTAAGAATTTGTTTTCCTAATCTTTTAGCCTTGTATATAGAATATACTTTATTAAGCGAACATTATGGACAAAACAATTAATCTTAGCGGTATTACACAATTCGCGCTGGATACTCTGAAATATGACCTTGAGAACAAACAAATAGAAATTCAAAGAAAAAATTGTTTTAAAACCTTTCAATCTTAGCACGGGTTTAAAAATGAGCCGTTTACAAAGCAAAGATTTATTTAAAAAATAAAAACCAAACGTTTTCGACACTAGGTCATCATCGTGGTAAATAGGCACCGTCCGCTAAATTAATGTTCCTGAAGTTGTGAACGGATTTTTCGAGGGTAGGGAATTGAGGTATTCTTCTTGAGATAAACAGTATCAGCTGAAATTATATATTCTATTGAGTGTGTATGATAATTTTTAGCGTGAGAAAGTTAGCCAAAATTGAAAGAAATGACGGTAAACGACTTCGAGTTAAGATAGATTTTATCTTTGGCGTAGATTTCGATTTCAAAGCCGCCGGAAAATTTAGCTTGGATTTGCACAATTTGCCGAAGGGAAGAAAGAAGGTACTTAAACCTGTCGATATACCATCGCTTGGGTGTTCGTACAGGTTGCCGATACCCAAGAAAAAAAAACAGAAAACTACAATGACAATAACGTAGCGCTTCGAGACATTTGGTGACTTCGTTAGTGTCGCATAGATTATCATAGCGCACTACTCTAAGATACACATCTCTTGGCGTATTTCGTATTTTCTTTGGACCTCATTTTGTCGAGCCGGTGCAACTTTATCGAAAAGAATAATCAAAAGTTTTGAAGAAAAGTGTGGAAAAAGTGTGCTATAATCAGATTAACTACAGAAAGGATCTTTAGTTTTGAATAGTACAAGTGCTTGAACATGAAAATTGTAAATTACGATTATTAAAGGTTTTTTTTGATCACCTGAAAGTAGCGTAAACGGGGCTCATATAGGAAACAAAATATTAAATGTGAACTACACACATATATCTAGGATGTTATATTTCAGTCGTTCAGTGCTCTTAGGAGGTCGCGAATCGCGAAGGTCACGGGAACTCGTGTACGCAGGAAAACCGTAAACCCGCGCGTGCGCTACAAATTCTCTTTCATATCAATTAAAAGGAAATCATGATAAATTAGCAAGTAAATTCATAAATTTAGCTTTCCTATAGCGTAAGAGTAAATACTTAGGATACAAACATTAGCAAAACACTGAATTCCTACTGTCCGTAAAGACAGGAGTTAAATCCACTGATGTCATCCCGGGTCTGATATCTGAACTTGTCGGCGGAGAACCTCTCTTTTCATGTTGACCCTGTCGGTGTCTATTTATATTATCAGTCTTCTTCATCTCGTGTATTTATCCTTTGACAAAGCACTTTATAAGTAGTAAAAGTCAAAGTAGATACAAGCGATCAATATGTTGATGCATACTTTAAAATATTTTTATATCATCTGTTGCGTGGCCTTACCCTGCTGGAAGAGAATCATTTCCTGTTTCTCAACAGCAATCTTGGTCTAGTAAATAGATCCTACCAATCAATATGTTTCTAATATGGGCGTGATATTTGTACTCGTCTATGGCGTTATTTGTACTCGTCTAGGTGTAGTTGGATAATGAATGTTATGAGTTACCACATTAAAGGGTATTTTTTTGAGACGAAATCTCTCCGAATGAAGCAAGATAAAATTAGGTGAAAATTTCCTTTAATCAACTGAACTAATTTCTCTAACTGATGCGCATACGTGACTGAAGTCCAATTTGTCAACTCGGCTGTATTTATTTGTTTTGTACCATAGACCCAACGAAGTTCGGAATGGACGAAGTCACTGTTATGCTGTGTCACTGCACGGCTATCATGATCTCTGTGATCAAACATAAACTGAAAAGTGATCAGATCAGGATTGGATCTCAATATGATGGCCAAAAGAGAGTGAAAGTGTCCTTTTCCATCATATTGGAGTTGTAATTGTTGTTTTTACGGCTTCATGGTTTCGGCTCGTTGTCGGGAAAACTATTAGTCGATAGGTACGGGATCGTCCATACGTGGATCAGGACCCTGGCTCCGTCAAACTCTGCTATGAATCTTATTCATGCAGTTTCAAGGTTGCCAATCTTTCGCAAAGGTTCGTTGAGAATAAACCACAGATTTCCGGGGTCTTTTAGCCTTGATAATTGATATTAGAGCATCTCAACGAGGGAGTTTTAATAAACTTATCCACTGTTTAATTTTCACATGTTGCACATGAGTAGAGTCCAGTCAAACCTGTATTTAATGGTCACCAGGGTGTTAAGAAGAAACGATATAAACCGTCATTTTATGCTATGATTGACCACTTAATTTCGCTCGACAATTCTACCAACACTGATTTCGGTAAAAATATATGGATGAAATTATATACGTGAAAGATTATTCTTAGATTTATTTGACTGGTCCCACTTAAGTGACCGTTCATTACAGGTGGAAGACAATAAAAACAGGCAGACCGTTGGGACTCAGCAAAGGGTGAACACGACCGCTTAGCCATAGAGGTGACCGTTTTAACAGAGGTGAAAATTACACTAGTTAAGTTGTAAACGTTTGAGGACTTCGACAACCGACCGCTTACTGACAGGGTGAACGCTTAAAACGGTGCCGCTTAAAACAGGTCCGACTATAACATAACCGTGTATTCGCTTAATATGTAGTTTTACGGAAAACTATTAAAAGTAAGATGTTTCACTTCATAATCTTCGTAACAATTCAAGATACTCTATTTTCCTTTTATATTGATCTTGGCCTCTTTACAAGTGACATAAGAATCCCGCCGTCTACTCTAAACTACCTTTTATGGAGGTTAGTTGACTACTGTTTATTTTGTTAGAAAACAAACGGAGTAAATGCTATGATATAAGGTCATTCGCTTTTCATATATGCCGACTGCGGAAGTGACTGCAATAGTTTTGTAGAGTACTGAGGAAACATGTCTCAGTTTGGTGATACGTCCTCGCCTATAAACCGCTTTTGCTTTAATATCTCCATCACATGGTTCGTATTGCTGAATAAAACAGACTGATTACAATTGAGGACAGTTGCAAACACGAAGGTTGATGATACTGGTATGCATCTGTCACTTGGTGGGCATGAATTTGCCGGCATCGACGCCGCATCGCAACGTCCAACACTCATCGTTAAAGTTTTACCACTATACTTTTTATCACAACTCATCCCCTTTTTTTCAAATCTTAATTTGTTTTCTTTTTCGTCTTGGAATTTGTCCAAGCTTTACAACCCGTGCAATAACCTTTCTCGTTAGTCTTCGAGGAAGCAGGTTGTGTTACACCGTTATCACTGTTCATCTTCCCTGCTGAGTTTTGTTTCGAAGAGGATGGCTGTGTTTTAGTACGCCCTTTCTTTGGAAAGTCTGTAGAGGGCTGTTTCTTGACCCGAATCGGTATGAGCGGTAGAAAGCTAAGTTCTTTCCCCGTGTCCCCCAAACCTGTGTGTAACGCCAGCGAACATCGCAGTCTAGAAATCATAAAACGCATGTCTCGTAAGTCAGGCATCATGGGTGCTCTGGCGCCTGTTACATTCACAGTAGTCCGGATAGAAACGCGAGTGCTCGGTAACGATTCACTAAAACTCTCTGGATAATAATCAAAACAACTGCTATCAGCCCCACATGGAGGGAAAGTGGCTCTGGAGGAAGCAGCGAGCCTCGCAGCCTTTTGGCACTCTTTATTAATGGCGT